GTGGCACGTTCAAGGCCACCGCAGCCTCGACCTGCTGGGCTTAGGCGATCCTTCTGCTTCAGCCTTCCAAGTAGCTGGAACTACAAGAATGTGCCACCATGCCTGGCTAATTTTTTGATTTATTGGAAAGATGAGGTTTGCCAAGTTGCCCAGGCTGGTCTCCGATCTGTGGGCTCAGGCAATCCTCTCACCTCCGCCTCCCTAAGTGCTGGGATTATAGGCGTGAGCCACCGCCCCAGCCTCCTTCCAGGTATTTGATTAAAAATTATTAGAAGCAAAATTTGAACATAAGCCTACCACTATGGAGGCACTCACAGAGGTACTAATGGGAAGATAAGTTTAGAGCTGCAGTGTTCTTAGGAGCCATCATTTTATACACATGGAAACTGAGGCCTAGGAAGACCACATCCCTTGCCAAGATCACATGTGTCTGAACTGGAACCCTAGACTCTTGACTCCTAGACCATCACTCTTTCTCTACCGCTCATTACCTTTGATTGAAATATTGTATGTATGCTCACAACATGTGCACTTTAAAAAGTAGTCCATACACTCCTATATATTCTTATCTCGTTTTTGCATGAAAAGCTGAAACCCGAAGATGCTAAGTGGCTTTCATAAGGCTTCTCCCTAACAGAAGTAGAACTAGTATCTCTTGAGTTATTCCCAGGCAGGAGGCTCCGCCCAGTAGGCCAGTCTTCTTTGTCCACGCATCCAGGACACCACTGATGCAGTTAGACAGGCGAACCCATCATGGCAGAGATTTCTGGGAAGCTCATCTGTTCAAGAAACATGTATTGAGTATTGATTGTATTAGGGTGGGCATGATTCCTGAATCAGGAAATACAATGAGAAATATAAATTGGGTTGATGGCCTCCTGAGTGTTGGTGAGCTTTAAATCCAGTATATGTTTACACGGACGGGGGGGAGCAGTGGACATGGGGGTGTGTGTGGGTGGTGGTGAGATAAGACATACTATAGAGTGAAAGTTCCTTGAGAGCAGACCTGGCTGATTCAACAGTGGACACCAGAGTATGTCACATGGTGCCCAAAGCATAGTAGGCTGAGTGAGGCCAGGAATAAGTGACTGACCAAAGAGACAAGGCAGTGACAACGGTGACATACAGTACAGTTCTGAGCACAGAATACTCAGTTATCCAAACTCATTTCCTTGTCTGTCTATCCTTCACACTAGCTAGAATGTGGGCTCTTTAGGGTGAAGTTGTTTTGATTGTTTATTTTCTGAATTTCCAGCACATATCAGCGTGCCAGCTGGGTTAGCATTCAGGCAGCTCTTACTTCTGCTACGAGGTTAAAATGTAAGAGGAAAGCTTCCCCAGCATGGTAAGTTTTAAACGAGTCTTGCAAGGTGAGATGGAACTTGGGTGGTGTCTGCCAGAAATAGACAGCTGGGTTTGATCATGTCTAAGGAAGTCTCTGTTTTGAACCAGATATTCTGAAGTCCCTGCTCATGAGGATATGCACATGTGATTGTGGAAACGTGGAATGTATCTGGGGTGGGGACTCATATTAAATCTGCTAGCCTATGGAAGAAATATAAGCGCAGAAAACAGGAAGATAGGGAAAGACTGGTCCCACGGGTCCAACATCCTCTGAAGTGAGGATATTTTGGACTTGCCACATTCTTGGTTAAGAAATGCCAGTCTCCCTTGGGGTTGCGGATATTCCATTTTATCAACATAAATGCTATAGATTAACATGAGTGCCTGTCTCTGTGGCGTGTAAGCAGAGAGATTGAAAGTGTATTTCCTCAATGAGTGTTGAGTGATAGATCATCCGTTTGTCCATTTATTCACTGTATGACTTGTGCATTTATCGGGTGCCTGTATGATGGTGGGTTAGGCTATAAGAGACTCAAAGACTAATTCCCACATGATTATGCCATTGATGACTCATCGGCTCTTTGTGCAAAACTGTCAGGTTCTCCATTCTTGGCCATAACAGTAACAAGTAACCTTTGGAAATTAAAAGGTATGAAACCAAGTCTGGGCAGTTGCAGTGAGAACTCACCTGCAACAGGATCTCAACACCAGCCAGTCAGTATGGACTGCATTTCCAAAGTCACTAGGCATCCTGAAAACCTTTGTGAATTAAGGTAAGTTTTTCATTAATCTATTTTTATTTTATGGTGCAGGAAATTGGTTAAAGCTGTCAGAAAAGCACTATTAAGAATCTTTGCTGGGGAGAACGCTAGGACAATTTCTCAGAGGGGTCACCCCAGGAAAGGGGAGGAATGTCTGTCACAGCCTGATGGGTGGTGTCTCACCATTGATCTTTGGCAAGTTGTACTGGAAAGGATGGTCAGAGTTCCAAAGTGCAATATTATATTTCCAATTAAAATGTAAAAATAAACCTTTTTCATAAAACACATTGGTCTCAGCGCTGGGAAGTGACTACAAAGCCCAGCGTTGATTGAGAAAAGCTGAAAGCAGACACTGTAATTGATAAAGGAGATAAGTCAATCTGTGTCCTTTAGAAAATAATGAGTTCCATTTTTCATCAAAAAGATCTCCTTGTGCCGAAGAAACATACTTTCAATAAATCTACTTAATGGTTTCCCCTCTAATGATATATAACATTGTGCTTTGGATCCCAGCATTGCAGCGTGGGCCCTGCCAGGGACTGCAGGCCACCCATCATTTGCATTGGTAATTCAACCCAAAGAAAAACCCAGCCAGTTCCCTGGAAGTGCTGCTGTTCAGGGGAACATATCTGAAGACCTTCCTGGGCTCTTGGAGCAGGTAGAGGGGACAGGATTTGGAATAAATAACCTACCACTAAACTTGAGAACTTATGCAAATCTCCATTCCCTGGCGCCCACTGCCAGCCACTGCTGTGTTCAGGGATGCAGGGATGTCCTCTGAGGAGGACACCACCGTGTCAGGTGGCTCAAGAGTTAAATGCTTCAGATACTTGGGTCGTGAGAACTGATCAGCTTTGTTTGTTCCCTGAGCTCATCACTCTCCCACAGACCTGACAGCCTTGGTGTAGTTGGATGTCAGCTGTGGGAGTTAGTCAATGTTTATTGCATTGGGTAAACTGAAGATTCACTTCAGTGAACCTGCCTGAAGCAGTCCCTTGCCCCATCTGAGAGCCTAAGCCTCAGGTGGCAAAGGCCTAGCAGAAGAAAGGGCCTGCCTCCTTCAAAGGGCATGATTTAGGGCCCTCTGCGCCCTCTGCCAGGTAGCAGGGCTGTGTTTCCACCCAGTTTACCTTGGTGAGCCCCAACTTTACCAATGTGCTGCTCTTTTCGCAAGGACCCACCTTTATGTAACAAAACCTATTTCCTCCAAGGGCACCCAGCCCTCCCAGTACTGACGGACTTCCCCACATGGGAATCATTAAAAACAACTCTAGAGTTATTTCCTTATGTTGCTGTTTGTTTATTCTCCAGTCGCGTGTGAGTCAGCCAGATCGTGATTTGCGGTGGTTTTGCTTGTGAAATCTTACATAATTATGTTTCTATTGTCATGTGGGTCGAGCAGTTAGACCATATAGTGTTTTCTCATTGCACAACGTTTGCAAATCAATAAGGAGAAAGCCCAAACAATGAGATGACGTTGGCCCATCAGGAGCCCTGCCCAAGTCACCCAGGAGGCAGCTCTGCAGTTTCGAAGATACGGCCTGTCCGTCCTCTAATTCCACTGCTGGGCAGGATGACTAGGCCCGGGTGGGGGCCTTTCGGATGGGTTTCACTGAGGTGGTATTGACAAGACGACGGTGAGAGAATGAAAGAACAACAATAACAACACTTCACACAGAAACTGACCAAATTTTTACTGTATTTGCTCCACGCCGATTCCAACATGCTGGCCCAGAGCGTGGCTGGCTGGAAGCAACTCCAAAAGGCTTTCCCTTGCCAGCCGTGTACATGATTGATTTGGATCCTACCACTGTCCCAAGTCCAGAGGCAATTACTACAAACACTCTTGATGCAAACCGTGAGTGGCCACAACACACGGATGGGGGTGGGCGTGGGTCCCACGACAGAGTGGAAGCCAGGAAAATGAGGTGTGGAGGCAAGACGCCCCCATAATTACTAAGGGGATATGGAGCTCAAAGCCCACGACGGCTTTGTTTTGTTTTGCTTTTTTAAATTTCTGGAGTATATGGAAACTACTTGTTCCTAACATTAGTTCATCTTTTTAATCAAATACCTGACCTGATTTAAAACATGTCTGTTTGCATTCCTCTTTCTGCAGTGCACCTTAATGTTATTCATACTGATATAGGATGAAGATTACAAAGAACTGCCTAAAAAGAGAAACTGTGTGACGCTATATGAAGACAACAACCATCACATTCCACAGCACATCATTGGTTAATTTTTGAACTGTCAAGCATTATTTAAAATGGGAGCGAGAGAGTATAACTGAACACAAGTGCCACGACAAAACAATCATAACAACAGAACCAATCCCCACTTCTCTATTAATCATTTAAAAATTTTAGCTCTGCTTCTAACACTTTTCTTTACTTGTTATTTTAAGCTCCAGTAGCAGGATCAGATTTCTGCTGCCTCTGGGCAAATGAGTTATGATCTGATCTCAAGTTCCAAGGGAAATGCTCAAAGTTTTATTTTTCCCCAGTTGAATAAACAGTACCATGTATATTATCACTTGTGTTAGAATAGTGTTGTCTTCACATAAGACTCAAATAATGGTATTAGTCATTCATTTCCCTGAACACAGACACCCTCATGCGTGCTGACAGGTTTATAAGGATGCGGTGGCAGCCGTGGGTTCTGGGAGCTGCTAGACGGCCGAGTTTGATTTCTTGCAGTCCTGAGCGATGGAGCCCGGGGGTGCCTGGTTATTGTCCGCTTTCTCTCTCAGATGCTTGGCTTGTCTGAAAGATTAATACATTAACAAGAGCTGAAGGTCTGGGGTTGCACATCTTCAGACATGTTTATTAGCAGATGGCACATAGGATTCAAAGGTCACCACAAAAGTGACATTTTAAAGTGAAACAACAATATTTATGTTCAGATAGTCTACTGATGAGATCATGTGGAAATGTTTTTGATTAAATTAGCTTATAAATGGTTGCCAATCTATAGACAACTTAAAATGCCATGTCTGTGTACAAAATGTTTTCTTCTCACGCTCTCACCTTTGAAATATTAATAACCAAATGCCTATTTTTAATTTTTAAATTTTTTCAGTATGCTCATTTAACTGTAGGATCAGCATAAAAACTGTATTTTTTCAGTATGCTCATTTAACTGTAGGATCAGCATAAAAACTGTAGGTTTTTACTGGTTGTGTTTTTTTTTTTTCCAGTCTAAAAACGTTGTCTCCTATGTGTGTTCTGAGATCTCACCTGCCATTATTCCGGCTTTGAAAGAGTTTGAATTCTGCTATGTAAATATAATTGCTTTTTTTTTTTTTTTAAAGTATAAATTAGGTCTCTGGAGAGGCCCCAAATCCAGTCTCTTTGATGAGACCTTCTGTTCAAGTCTCATTTAAAAAAGCTGTGAGCTGAATTTCAAAAATAATTATGATAGCTGCATTTTCGCCTTTGGAGGCCTTGCCATGTTTCTGTGGTAAGGTGTGGTGGTGTTCACAATGTGAAAAACCAAATGCAGCCCAGGGGAGGACACCTCCTCTCAGCTTATTTTTCTGTTTTGCCCACAACTTAGCAGGAATGTGAGTGAGAACTTGTGCCCCTGAAAATGGCTTAGCCAAACAATGCTCAACTGTATCAAGTGAAAAATAATCTTTTGTAAGTTTTGCAAGTCTCCACAGTCAAGAAAACTCACAAACTTTTTCAACAAAGGATTACAATGCAGAAACAATGATCAGTTAGTAGGTTAAAATTTCCATAGACATATTACAGGAGATGACTATGGCCATACATGCAGTTTTTCATTTATTTACATTTAATTGTGTCATGAATAATTTTGAAAGACATTATTGTCTTGATGTTTTACCTTATTATCACCTATGCTTTATCGATTATACAGTTACAAAATTACTAATGTAAGAATACAGACAGGATTTACTCACTTTTCAAGAGAACCTTTTTCAATATTCATTGCCCCGTCAATTGGATCCAGCCCTTGTTCAGAAAATTGTTTCAAGGCACTTAAAGCTGCCTAAAAATTAAAATAAACAAGGAGAGCCATTCACCGACTTTAATGTAATTAAAGATAATTGCAAAAGAAAGCTGAGATATAAAGACTATCATTTTCATTAGTCTAAATAAGTGCTTTTTTTTTTTTGCATTGTGTAGCAAAATTACACTGGAAAGCCTGCATTATCATGGAGCCACGTATATACATGACTCGGAGGACTTTGTCTTTAGGGGCGTTGGGGAAAGAATCTCCGTAACTGTCTTATCCCTTCTCCATCCTTTTGTAAAATCGCGATGTTTTGTCTGCAAATGTAGAAACACCTTGCATAAGCTTAAAATATTTCAATTATGATTTTGGATAATTTCTTCCCGTACTGAAACTTCAGACATGAGGATAACTGAATTTTCCACCTTGAGCGCTTTTTCCAAAGTGAGCATCAAGGTATTGTTCACTTTCATAGACCTTAGCCCCAACCAAGCCACAGAACGTTAGCTAAGGAATGGACAGCAGGCTCTCTGTGGGATGCACACTGAGTGATGCTATGATGAAATCCTGAAAGGAGAGGGAAAGAGACAATCGGGGCTGGTCAGGCTCCGGGGAGGCAGGCCTGGCGGCGGCAGAACCTCCCCAGGTGTTGAGAGGCTCTTGATGCGTGGGAAGCTGAAGGGTGTTAACAGGCTGGCGGAGCCTAACTGGATAGCTGGGAGGCACCAAAAATGCCATGCTGATAAGATCTACATAACTTGTTGACACTCTTGTGCACGTTCCAAATCGTGATTTCTTTGAGTAAGAATTTGGGTCTCTCCTTCCCCTCCCCCACGCCCACCACTGCCAAGCACGATTGATTGGAAGGGCTTTGTTGAGTCTGAGATAGGTGTGAGCAGGGAGGGTTGTTTTAATCTCGGGGCACCCCGCTGGTTCACACTTGGGTCATCTGTATCTTCTCAGCTGCCTCTGAAAAAGAGCTAACTTTTGCAGTTTCCCAAACTTTTATCTGCCAAGGACTTTTGGGTAGCTGACTACATGCATAATTTCTTTTAAATTTCTTTACCCATAATATATTTTGGGGGGTTGATTTTTAAGTTAACAGACTTGTCACGTTTACAGAAAACTTGAGCAGGTTCCCATATGCTCCCTCTTCCTCCTTTCTCCAAACACATTTTCCCCTGTAATAAACATCTTGCATTGGTATGGTGCATTTGTTAAAGCTGATGAGCAAATATTGATAGCAAAGTTAATGACCTTAGTGAACTTTTAGGGCCCACTCTTTGTGTTGCACACTCTATTGGTTTTGACAAAGGCATAATGATATGCAGCCACCATTACAGTATATAAAATAGTTTCATAGCCCTAAAAATCCTATGCTTTTACCCTCTTGCCCATCAATCCTCGATCTTTTTACTGTCTACAGTTTTGCCTTTTCCACAATGTTATGTACTAGTTGGAATCATATAGTATGCAGCCTTTTCAGACTGGCTTTTTTCACTTAGCAGTGTGTTTAAATCTCTTGTCTTTTCATGAGTGAGTTTGATAGCTCATTTCTTTCTTTCTTTTCTTTCCTTTCTTTTTTCTTGAGTCGGGGTCTTACTCTGTTGCTCAGGCTAAAGTGCAGTGGCACAATCACAGCACCACAGTCTCCAACTCCTGGGCTCAAACAATCTCCCTGCATCAGCAGGAAGCAGTAGCTGGGAATATAGGCGCATGCCACTAGACTCAGCTAATTTTTTTTTTTTTGGTAGAGAGATCTTACTATGCTGTCCAGGCTGGTCTCAAAACTCCCGGGCTCAAGTGATCCTCTTGCCTCAACTTCCCAAAGTGCTGGGATTACAGGCATGAGTCACGTATCTGGCCTCATTTCTTTTTATTGCTGAATAACATCCCATGGCATGGATGCACCACAGTTTGCTTATTCTTTCACTTATTGAGGGACTTCATGATTGTTTCCAGTTTTTGATGATTATGAATAAAGTTGCTGTAAACATCCATGTGCAGGATTTAGTGTGTAATCTTTGTAATACTTTTTTTCCTTCTCTTGGTCTTTCTTTTTTTCTTTCTTAATCAGGGTCTCACTCTGTCACCTAGGCTGGAATGTGGTGGCACAATCATGGCTCACCGCAGCCTCAGTCTCCTGGGCTGAGGGGATCCTTCTGCCTCAGTCTCCTGAGTAGTTGGGGACTACAGGCACACACCACCATACCAGGCTAATTTTATTTTATTTTTGTACGGGAGAGGTCTTATTATGTTGCCTAGGCTGGTCTCGAACTCCTGGGTCAAACAATCCTCATACCTTTGCTTCCCAAAGTTCTGGTATTATAGGTGTGAGTCACTGCTTCAGGCCTGCCTGCTAGCTTGCTTTCTTCCTTAATTTATTTTTAAATTACAACTCCTATATCCAACCCAAAGTTCAAATGTGAGCTTTCTTTTGGATCTTGACACTGGAGTCCCTCGTTCAGATGTGTCATCTGAGTGCCCACATGAGTTTGCAGCTCTGGCCTAGGCACCGAGAAGCAGTGGGGAGGCTGTGATCCGGTCTCACCTGTCAGCATTATCTTTTTAAACCCGGAGTCCCGCAGGGAGAAGGTAGTGTTGCCTCCCACAGCTCCAGAGCCTGGTCCATCCTCATGCTACACAACAGCTCGTGTTGGCTGTAGTGGCAAGGAGCACCAACCTCTGTGGGACAGAAGGAGCGTGGCTGTCTCACTGAGGTGCAACTTCTCTGAGGGCAGATGGAAAGCTCATATCACGTCTGCCGTCAGAGAAGGTGTGCCAGCATCAGCAGTGGGAGGAGAGTGTTTTCTTGGTGCTTCTGGAATTACCGCTCAGAACCAATCTGTGGGTTATTCGACCAAACCAGTTTTGTCGTTTTATGGCCCCACCTTATTTTAATGTGTTCATCCTGGCTATTTTCCTTATTCACCAGTCTTGGCATTGTCTAGAGTTTTGTTGCTTTCAAGAATTAAATTCACCCTCAGAAGATTCAGGTTGGAACAATCTTCCCCTCCCTCCTCCCCAAAAAGGAATTTACAGAGGAATTTGACTCTCGTGTAGATTTGATTTGGTGACGCTGAGGGACTTCCAAGTCCTGGAGTGTTGAGGTGGCGATGTTGAGAACAGTCTGGTGGAGGCAGACGTGCTCGTGGGCTTATTCCACCTGGGCCCTGATGTCCCACATCACGTATGTATGGGGACACTAAGAGCCAAGCCCACACACTTGCAGGCTCTAAAGACCGATCCATGCCAGATCTCCTCTCCAGGTAACGCCAACTTCGTGGAGTGGGTGAATGAACTCAGGGTTCTTTGTATATTCAGCAATTTTGAACAATTAATCAGCTATTTTGTTCTGATCCATTAATATGTAAATTGTGGGCAGGAATGCTCATATTTGTCGATTTTTTCCCCGTTGGACTGTTTAAAAATTTATTTTGTTTTGTTGTTGATTATACACTGACAGATTATATTTGTTATATATTGATGGGGTATAAAATGATGTTAGGATTTTAAAATACAATGTAGAATGATTATTAAATCAAGTTAATTGACATATGCATCACCTCAAATATTTAATATTTTCTATGATGACAATACTTGAAATATATTCTCATAGAGATATCGAAATGTACAGTACTCAATTATTAGTTATATTCACTATATTGTACTACAGATGTTAAAAAAAAATTGCTGGGTGCTTTGGCTCACACCGGTAATCCCAGTACTTTGGGAGGCGGAGGTGAGAGGATTGCCTGAGCCCAGGGATTCAAGACCAGCCCGGGCAACTTGGCAAGACTTCATCTCTACAATAAATCAAAAAATTAGTCAGGTGTGGTGGCCCATGCCTATAGCTCCAGCTACTTAGAAGCCTGAGGCAGAAGAGTCGCCTGGGCCCTTTTGAGGCTGCAGTAGCCATGAATGTGCCACTGCACTCCAGCCAGGGAAACAGTGAGACAATGATGAAAAACAAACAAATAAATAAAAATAATTTCTTTTATCTCAGATTCTGTGCCCTTTGGCTATCATCTCTCCACTCCCCTCACCTCCCAGCCTCTGTAACCACCTATTAGTCTCTGCTTCTACGAGTTCACTTGTTTCAGATCCCACATATAAGTGAGAACATGCGGTATTTGTCTTTTTGTATTTGGTTTACTTCATGTACATAATGTTCTCCAATTTTACTCATGTTGTTGCAAATGAGAGAATTTCTTCCTTTTTAAGGCCGACTGGTATTCTGTTGATGGACACTTGGGCTGATCTCATATCTTGGCTACTGTGAACAGCACTACAATGAACATGGGAGTGCAGACACCTCTCTGACATACTGATTTCTGATCTTTCAGGTAAATACCCAGAAGTGGAATTGCTGGATCTATTACAGAAGGCTATCGAGTGCCAGGAAATTTACATTTGCAGTGTGATATTGCTGAATGAGACACCTGAGAGCTCCAGGGCTTCTTGGTTCTGTTTCACTCCAGCAAGGCCAAAACAACCACCAAAACCAAACTTTTGAGAAAACGTAAACTCATGTATAGGCCAATCATAGCCCGTTTTTACTAGTTGCCTTGGGAATACTTGGCTCCTAGTGTGGCCTGAATACCAGGAAGCAAATGACCTGCTTCACCCAGCCCAGATCCAGGGTACCTGCCCTTTCCCTTTCCTCTGAAGAAAGATGCCCAAAGAAGACGAAGGCCAGGGCTCAGGGAGCAGGTTCAGTGTGCTAGTTCTTGCAAAATTTCCTGGACAATTTTATCAACATGCTAGGGAGATCCCCCGTGCCCTGTCAAAATGACTGTCATCACTCAAAGAATGTCCTCCATGCCAAAATGGCGGTGTGTTCCTTCACACGATGCCATGAGTGGATTTTCAGAATTCTTGTGTGGCTGCTTCCCTCCAAAGGTATGCTTAAAGGCTTCCAAGTAACATGCTCTTATCTGGCTGATGAGATCATTCAACCCACATTTTATCGATAATGCTGAATACAATGGCTTATAAGTATGAGAGGACTTCTTTCTAATTCATAAAAGGCGATG